CCTGTCCCAGGTTTCGGCACCAGATGTTAAAACGGGCACTCTGAAGGAAGAGACCTCCCAAACAGGCTTTGCATGAGAAACATGGCTGTTTATTCGTCTGGGTGCAGGTGGGCTGAGGCCAAAAGTGGTGTCAGCTGAGGGCCGTGAAATAAGAATTGGTTTTCTAGGTTTTGGGTGGGCAGTGGAAAGTTATAGAAGTTACAGTTGGTGTTTTCTTGCAAGCTGGATGGTGGGGGGGTCCTGGTGTGTGGAGTCAGGAGGTTGGCCAACGTCCCTTAGAAAGTCCAATGGCCTTGTGAATCGAGGCCGGTTTAAGAAGCAATAGAAAATGTCTCAGAGTAGGCCGGGCGCGGTGGCTCATGCCTGTAATCCCAGCACTTTGGGAGGCCGAGGCGGGTGGATCACGAGGTCAAGAGATCGAGACCATCCTGGTCAACACGGTGAAACCCTGTCTCTACTAAAAATACAAAAAAATTAGCTGGGCATGGTGGTGCGTGCCTGTAATCCCAGCTACTCAGGAGGCTGAGGCAGGAGAATTGCCTGAACCCAGGAGGCGGAGGTTGTGGTGAGCCGATATCGTGCCATTGCACTCCAGCCTGGGTAACAAGAGCGAAACTCTGTCTCAAAAAAAAAAAAAAAGAAAATGTCTCAGAGTTAAGTAGGCACCACAGAGGTTGAACATTTCTTCCTCCTTTTAGGATTTTACAACCATTTCAGGTTTTCTAATTCCAGAAAGCACCACAGGGGTGTACATGCAGTTCGTGGGAGTCGCCATACTGTCCACAGCATGGTCAGACATTATAACACTTGCAGATTTCTTTTGATGAGTGTTAGAATGACTTACTTTTTGCATACCTTTTTATGTAATGTGTCCATATCTTTCTGTTTGAAATGATTTTCTTTTACACATTACTGACCCTTACTGTGTCAATCTCTCTTTTTTGTGTATGCGAATAATAGAGATTTAAAGTAGTAATTGATATAGTTGTATTAATATGTATATATGTAATTGTTCTCTGTTTGTTTTACTTTCCATCTATTTTTCAAACTTTCTCTTTTTTTACCTTGTGTGGTTTTTGTTTATTCCTTCGTTCTTTGAGACAGAGTCTCACTCTGTTGCCCAGCCTGGAGTGTAGTAGTGTGATCTCATCTCAATGAAACCTTTACCTCCTCCTGGGGTCAAAGGATTCTTATCCTTCAGTCTCGCAAGTAGCTGGCATTATAGGCATATGCCACCATGCACGGCTAATTTTTGTATTTTCAGTAGAGACAGGGGTTTCGCCATGTTAGCCAGGCTGGTCTTGAACTCCTGACATCAAGTGATCCACCCACTTTGGCCTCCCAAAGTGCTGGGATTACAGGTATGAGCCATGGCATCCAGCCACCTTCTGTAGTTGTAATTGACTATTCTATGTGATTCTATTTTCCCTCTATTAGCATATCAACCTACTCATTTATTCAATTTTATCAAGGAATTCCCTAGAGTTTGTAGTACACATTTACAACTAATGAACCTTTAGTATCAAGGAATGCTGTGCTGGTTTTGAGGGTACTCCTCATATGTTACACAGTGTTCTAGATATGTGTGTCCCATTCCATATAACATTCTTGTCATTCCTATGACCTACTAAAATCTATAACCACTCAATGCAGTGTTAAGATTATTATTTTGAAGACACATTTATATATTAGGTCAGACAGGAATAACAGAATGAGGAATTTGTTGTCCCTTCATTTGATTAAGAATACTCTTTTTTTTTTTTGAGACGGAGTTTCGCTCTTGTTACCCAGGCTGGAGTGCAATGGCGCGATCTCGGCTCACCGCAACTTCCGCCTCCCGGGTTCAGGCAATTCTCCTGTTTCAGCCTCCTGAGTAGCTGGGACTACAGGCACGCACCACCATGCCCAGCTGAATTTTTGTATTTTTTTTTTTTAGTAGAGACGGGGTTTCACCATGTTGACCAGGATGGTCTCGATCTCTTGACCTCGTGATCCACCCGCCTCGGCCTCCCAAAGTGCTGGGATTACAGGCTTGAGCCACCGCGCCCGGCGGTTTAGAAGATTTTTAACATTTTTAGACATTTGTTACCTTTATTAGTTCTGTTTAAGTAGCTTTTATCGATTACTAAGAGGTCTGTTTTAATGATTTAGGGAATTTTATAAATATTCATCAGAAATGATACCTTGGTGACATGCAGTTCTTTTTGTTTGTTTGAAGACACAGTGTTGCTCTGTCACCAAGGCTGGAGTGCAGTGGTGCGATCTTGGCTCACTGCAACCTCCATCTCCTAGGTTCAAGCAATTCTCCTGCCTCAGCTTCCCAAGTAGCTGGGACAACAGACATGTACCACCATGCCCAATTTTTGTATTTTTAGTAGAATCGGGGTTTTACCATATTGGTCAGAGTGATCTCAACCTCCTGACCTCAGGTGATCCACCCACCTCAGCCTCCCAAAGTTCTGGGATTATAGGTGTGAGCCATTGTGCCCAGCTGACATGCAGTTCTTCAGAAGAACGTGTACAATATTTCCCCATCTTTCATTCTCTTTTATGTTACCTAATAAAATGTTTAAAATTTTTCCTTTAGGATGATGAAAATACATTTCATTAGCCTTTTGTTATACTTCATTAAATTTAATCTACAAAACCCAGTTACCCGCTTCCAGATGTTCTCTTATTGTAATCACGTAGGATGGGCTAAATCACCCAGTTAACAAGAGCTGACAGAACATGTGAAATGTTACGTACCAAGGTCACTCATTAGATGCATAGTGCTTAGAGTTTTTTGTGTGTGTGCGTGGGACAGAGTCTTGCTCTGTCACCAGGATGTAGTGCAGTGGCACAATCTCAGCTCACTGCAACCTGCGCCTTCCAGGTTCAAGCGATTCTCCTAACTCAGGCTCCTGAGTAGTTGGTACTGCAGATGTGCACCACTACACCCAGCTGATTTATTTATTTGTATTTTTAGTAGAAACAGGTTTCACCATGTTGGGTAGGATGGTCTCAATCTCTTGACCTTGTGATCCGCCCACCTCGCTTTCCCAAAGTGTTGGGATTACTAGCATAAGCCACCTTGCCCAGCCCCAGAGTTTTTTTTCATGGGCATCTCAGTCTGTTTCATGATAGTTAGAAAAGAATACCTGAAAATGGGTAATACACAAGACATATTTGTTTTGTACATTTCTGGAGTTTGGGAAGTCTAAGGGCATGGGGGCGCATCTGGGGAAAGCCTTGCTGGTAGGGACTCTTCACCATCTAAAGCAATGGAGGGAGAGTTTTCCTCAGGGGGGAGCTGATTGTGCTAGCTGGCGTCTTGGCCTCTTCTTCGAAGACCACCAGTCTTACTCCCAGGATATCCCATTAACTCATTAAACCTTTAGTTCATCCGTGAATTAATCCATTCATAAGGCAGAGTCCTCATGACACAATCACCTCTTCAAGGCCCCACTTTTCAATACTGACACATTGGGGATGAAATTTCAGTATTAATTTTTGGGGGTATAAACATTCAAACCTAGAAGTGGCCAATCACGTGTGTTCCTCTTCTGTTTCTGCAACAAAATTTAAAACTCTCAGAAGATAGATGGAAATTAAGCAAATACTATTTTATTTATTTATTTTTGAGATTGAGACTCGCTTTGTTGTCGGGCTGCAGTGCAGTAGTGCAATCTCAGCTCACTGCAGCCTCTGCCTCCCAGGTTCAACCCATCCTCCTGTCTCAGCCTTTCGAGTAGCTGGAACTACAGGTGCATGTCACCATGCCCAGCTAATGTTGGTATTTTTAGTAGAGATGGGAGGTCACCATGTTGGCCTGGATGGTCTCAATCTTTTGACCTCGTGATCTGCCCACCTTAGCCTCCCAAAAAGCTGGGATTACAGGCGTGAGCCACTGTGCTCTGCCCTTTATTTATTTTTCAATTTAATTTGAGACAGGGTCTCGTTCTGTTACCCAGGATGGAGTTAATTGACTTACTCATGGCTCACTGCTGCCTCGACCTCCTAGATTCAAGCAGCCCTCTCAGCTTAGCCTCCCTAGTTGCTGGGACTACAGGCATGTGCCATTATGCCTGCCTAATTTTTCTATATTTTGTCGAGATGGGGTTTCAACATGTTGCCCAGACTTGTCTTGAACTTTTGAGCTTGAGCAATTCTCTCATGTCAGCCTCCCAAAGTGCTAGCATTATAGGCGTTAGCCACTATGCCCAGTGGCAAATATTATACTGTTTGAATAAATAGTTTAGGCATACACAGCTTCTTTTCTTTGTTATGTTGGTGCAGCTCTCCTTCAATCTGGCTGTGAGATATCATCATTGTCCAACTTTCTAAATAAGCATGTGTAGGGATATGTTGTCTCACAACTGCTAATACTGTCTTTTTTTTTTTCTTTTTTTTTGAGACAAGTCTCGCTTTTGTTTCCAGGCTTAAGTGCAGTGGTACAATCTCAGCTCATTGCAAGCTTCACTTCTCAGGTTCAAGCAATTCTCCTGCTTCAGCCTCCCCAGTAGCTGGGACTACAGTCACGTGCCACCGTGCCCAGCTAATTTTTGTATTTTTAGTAGAGACAGCATTTCCCCATATTGGCCAGGATGGTCTTTATCTCTTGACCTCGTGATGCACTTCACAGCCTCCCAAAATGCTGGTACCACAGGCCTGAGCCACCGCCCCTGGCTAATATTGTGTCTCATATACGAGTTAGTACAGACACAGACATAGTATGAATACAGACAGACACTAGAGGTGATCTGGGCAGCATATCTCACTTTCTGAAATAGTGAATGAGAGGCTTGTTCATCTTGGCTGATACTTTACTGAATATGTTGAGTTCTAGCATCAGAATTGCTATGTTGGAGAAAGTGAGTATAAACAGAGGACAAGAGTATCATGACCAAGTCATTGAATAAATTTGTGGAGTCTGTAGCATTGTGTGAACTTCTTCTTAAGTGTAGATTCCTAGCACTGTCGGTCTTAACCTTCCTCCTCTGCCCTGGGGGATGTTTCAGGACTCAGTGACCTTTGAGGATGTGGCTGTGAGGTTTACCCAGGATGAGTGGCCTCTGCTGGATCCTTCCCAAAAGAATCTCTACAGAGATGTGATGCAGGAAACCATCAGGAACCTGAAGTCTATAGGTAAGGATGACCTCATTTCTTCCTGAGTCAAATAGAGAACAAGTGTTTCTTGGTCATCTACACCGATCAGTGATTTGGAACATGGTAGGGAATACGATAGACTGGCCAGGTGCAGTGGCTCACATCAGCAATCTTAGCACTTTGGGAGGCCAAGGTGGGTGGAACACTTGAGGTCAGGAGATCAAGACCAACATGGCCAACATGATGAAACCCCTTCTCTACTACAAATACAAAAGTTAGCCAGGTGTAGTAGTGCATGCCTTTAGTCCAGGCTACTCTGGAGGTTGAGGCAGGAGAATGGCTTGAGCCCAGGAGGCGGACATTGCAGTGACCCAAGATTTGCCACTGCACTCCTGCCTGGATGACAAAGTGAGACCTCATTTCAAAACAGAAGCAATACAATAGACCCTTGAACAAAGTGCATGTTAAGAAACTCTTAACCTCTGCATGGTAGATGGTCTGGCTTTAACTTTTGAATATATAAAAAGTTAAATGTTAGGCCGGGCGTGGTGGCTCAAGCCTGTAATCCCAGCACCGTGGGAGGCCGAGGCGGGTGGATCACGAGGTCAAGAGATCGAGACCATCCTGGTCAACATGGTGAAACCACGTCTCTACTAAAAATACGAAAAATCAGCTGGGCATGGTGGCGCGTGCCTGTAATCCCAGCGACTCAGGAGGCTGGGGCAGGAGAATTGCCTGAACCCAGGAGGCGGAGGTTGCGGTGAGCCGAGATCGCGCCATTGCACTCCAACCTGGGTAACAAGAGCGAAACTCCGTCTCAAAAAAAAAAAAAAAAGTTAAATGTTGTCTGGGTGCAGTGGCTTACACCTGTAATCCCAGCACTTTGGAATGCCCAGGCGTGGGGATCACCTGAGGTCAGGAGTTTGAGACCAACCAGCCTGGCCAACATGAGGAAACCCCATCTCAACTAAAAATACAAAAAATTAGACAAGTGTGGTGGTGGACTCCTGTAATCCCTTCTACTCAGAAGGCTGAGACAGGAGAATCACTATAACCTGGGAGGTGAAGTTTGCATTGAGCCAAGATCGAACCACTGCATTTCAGCCTGGACAACAAGAGCAAAAATCTGTCTCAAAAAAATGTTAATAGCTTATTGTTGACTGGAAGCTTTCTCAATAACACAACCAGTCAGTTAATACATAATTTGTATATTGGTGTATATGTGTAAATATATATGACGATACTGTCTCATGTTACTAAGGCTGGAATGTAGGGGCGTGATCATAGCTCACTACAATGTCGAACTCCTAGGCTCAAGCAATCCTCCTGCCTTAAACTCTTGAGTAGCCATGACTCCAGACAAGTTTCACTATGCTGGGCTGATTTTTAAATTATATTTTTTGGAGATGTGAGTCTTGCTGTGTTGCCCAGGCTGGTTTCAAACTCCTGGCCTAAAGCAGTCCTTCCCTAAGTGCTGGGATGATAGATATAAACCACAGTCCCTCTCTGTTTGGTTTATTATATTTGGTATTCTTATAATAAAGTAAGCTAGAGAAAAGAAATGTTAAAGTAAATCATAAAGAAGTAAAAACATATTGACTATTGATTAAGTGGATCATCCTAAAGGAATTCTTTTTGCTGGGCACGGTGGCTGATGCCTGCAATCCCAGCACTTTGGGGAGCCAAGGTGGGTGGATCATGAGGTGAGGAGTTTGAGACAAGCCTGGCCAATATGGTGAAGCCCCATCTCTAGTATAAATACAAAATTAGCCAGGCGTGGTGGGACATGCCTGTAATCCTAGCTACTCAGGAGGCTGAGACAGGAGAATTGCTTGAACCCGGGAGGTGGAGGTTGCAGTGAGCCGAGAACGTGCCACTGCACTCCAGCATGCGCTACGGAGTGAGACTCTAAACAAAACAAACGGAACAAAACTGAGTAGCCTGAAGAAGAGGAAGAGTTGGTCTTGTTCCCACGCAGGTAGTGGAGGTTGAGAAAAGTCTGCATATGATTGAACCTGTGCCATTCAAGCCCCCCCACCTTTTTTCTTTTTTTTGAAATAGTTTCCCTTTTGTTGCTAAGGGTGGTGTGTAATGGTGCAGTCTCAGCTCACTGGAACCTCCACCTCTTGAGTTCAAGCGATTCTCTTGCCTCAGCCTCTCGAGTAGCTGGGATTACAGGCACTCACTACCGTGCTCGGCTAATTTTTTGTATTTTTAGTAGAGACAGGTTTCTCCATGTTGGTCAGGGTGGTTTTGAACTCCCAACCTGAGGTGACCCATCCTCCTCGTCCTCCCAAACTGCTGAGATTGCAGGCATAACCCACCGCACCCAGACTCAAACCAATTTTGTTTAAGGGTCAATAATACCTTGTTGGCCGGGCGCGGTGGCTCAAGCCTGTAATCCCAGCACTTTGGGAGGCCGAGGCGGGTGGATCACGAGGTCAACAGATGGAGACCATCCTGGTCAACACGGTGAAACCCCTTCTCTACTAAAAATACAAAAATTCAGCTGGGCATGGTGGCAGGTGCCTGTAATCCCAGCTACTCAGGAGGCTGAGGCAGGAGAATTGCCTGAACCCAGGAGGCGGAGGTTGCAGTGAGCCGAGATCGTGCCATTGCACTCCAGCCTGGGTAACAAGAGTGAAACTCCATCTCAAAAAAAAAAAAAATAATAATAATAATAATACCTTGTTGAATAACTCATGCATGGCGATAGTGTTCCATGGACATAGAATAAAAAAATGTTTGTATAATTTTGTTATGATTTATGATAATTTTTTTGGGACCACATTTTAGGAATAAAATGGAAAGACCAGAACATTGAAGATCATTGCAAAGATTCCAGGAGAAATCCAAGGTAATTTGCATATACAACGTAAAGCCGTGTCACTTGAGATAATGTTAGTATGATAGAAAATTATATTTGTTTACTTATCTTTCTTTTTTTTTTTTGAGACGGAGTTTCACTCATGTTACCCAGGCTGGAGTGCAGTGGCGCGATCTCGGCTCACTGCAACCTCCGCCTCCTGGGCTCAGGCAATTCTCCTGCCTCAGCCTCCTTAGTAGCTGGGATTACAGGCACGTGCCACCATGCCCAGCTAATTTTTTGTATTTTTAGTAGAGACGGGGTTTCACCATGTTGACCAGGATGGTCTCGATCTCTTGACCTCGTGATCCACCCGCCTCGGCCTCCCAAAGTGCTGGGATTACAGGCTTGAGCCACTGCGCCCAGCCCTTTTTTTTTTAAGACGGGGTTTCACCATGTTGGTCAGGCTGGTCTTGAACTCCTGACTTCAGGTGATCCGCCCACCTTGGCCTCCAAAGTGCTTGGATTACAGGCGTGAGCCACCATGCCTGACCTTTTTCTTTTTCTTTTTTTTTTTTTTTTAAGTTGGGAATGTATTTCTTTATTTGAGACACAGCTTACTCTGTCACACAGGCTAGAGTGCAGTGGCATGATGATAGCTAACTGCAGCCTTGAATCCTTGGACTCAAGCCATCCTCCTTTCTTGGCCTCCCAAAATGCTAGGGTTACAGGCATGAGCCAGTGTGCTCCATGGAAATATAAAGTACAAGCAAACAAAGCGAGGCAGCCCAGCTTCAAAATTGTTAAGTTTTAGAATGTTTTCTCCCAAAATATGTAGTTCAATGTGACACAGACATTCATTGCTTGCAAAATAATTGCCTTGGAAACAGCATTAAGAAACACCATAGCTGGCCGGGCGCGGTGGCTCACGCCTGTAATCCCAGCACTTTGGGAGGCCGAGGCGGGTGGATCACTAGGTCAAGAGATCGAGACCATCCTGGTCAACATGGTGAAACCCCGTCTCTACTAAAAATACAAAAAATTAGCTGGGCATGGTGGTGCGTGCCTGTAATCCCAGCTACTCAGGAGGCTGAGGCAGGAGAATTGCCTGAACCCAGGAGGCGGAGGTTGCGGTGAGCCGAGATTGCGCCATTGCACTCCAGCCTGGGTAACAAGAGCAAAACTCTGTCTCAAAAAAAAAAAAAAAAACACCATAGTTGCCAGATGTGGTCACTCATGCTTGCAATGCCAGTACTTTGGGAGTCTGAATGGGAGGATTGCTTGAGCCAAGGAGTTTGAGTCCAGACTGGGCAATGCAGTGAGAACTCATCTCCAGGAGAAATTTAAAAAATTAGACAGGTGTGGTGACACATGTCTGTGGGTCCAGCTACTTGCAAGGCTGAGGTAGGAAGTTTGCCTGAGAGTGGAAGGTAGAGGCTGCAGTGAAGTGTGATCACACCACTGCATTGCATCCTGGGCAACAGAGTGAGAGACTGTTTCAGGAAAAAGAAAGGGAGGGAGGGATGGAGAGAGGGAGAGAAGAAGAGAAGGAAAGAAAGAAGGAAACTACCTACCACCATCACTCTTTTGATAATAGCTGTAATGGAGCCCCTTTGCAGAGAATTCAGTCCACTCACTTTCAAACAATTCAGACAGGGCATAAAGCCTACATTTCTCATGATAAAGTAAAATATGTAAATCAAATGCTAATATAAAAGTATTTGTGAACAAAATTTTTGTAATGTGCTTCTTATTTCTTATAGAAATCATATGGCAGAGAGACTCTGTGAATGTAAAGATGGTCAATGTGACAAAACTTTCAGCCTAATTCCAGATGCTATAATGAACAAGAAGACTTTTCCTGGGGTAAAACCATGTGAAAGCCGTGTGTGTGCAGAAGGCAACATGGATCCTTCATCTCTGAATTGCTGCAACGGAGCTGACACTGGACACAAACCATGTAAGTGTCGGGAACATGGAGAGAAGACACATAAACGTAAGCAATGTGTGAAAACCTTCAGCTGTCTCCACTCCTTTCAAACACATGAAAAGCCTCACACTGGAGAGAAAGCCTATGATTGTAAGGAATTGAAAAAAACCTTCATTTCTCTCAAAACTGTTCAAAGACACAGGGTAATGCACAGTGGAGATGGACCTTACACATGTATTTGTGGGAAAGCCTTTGTTACTCTCAGTCTAAATCTCACACATGAAAGATCTCATACTGGACAGAAGCCATATAAATGTAATGAATGTGGGAAAGCCTTTGATTGTCTCAGCCATTTTCATAGACATGAAAGAACACACACTGGGGAGAAGCTGTATGAATGTAAGCAGTGTGGGAAAGCCTTTAATCGTTCCAGTAATATTCGAGCACATGCAAAAATTCACACTGGAGAGAAACCGTATGAATGTAAGCAATGTGGGAAAGCGTTTCATAGTTGGAGTTCTGTTCGAAAACATGCAAAAATTCACACCGGAGAGAAACCGTATGAATGTAAGCAATGTGGGAAAGCCTTTACTCGTCCCAGTTCAATTCAACGACATGCAAGAATTCACACCGGAGAGAAACCGTATGAATGTAAGCAGTGTGGGAAAGCCTTTACTCGTTCCAGTTACATTCGAACGCATGCAAGAATTCACAGTGGAGAGAAACCCTATGAATGTAAGCAATGTGGGAAAGCGTTTATTCAGTCCAGTGCCTTTCAAACACATATAAGAATTCACACTGGAGAGAAACCTTATCAGTGTAAGCAATGTGGGAAAGGCTTTAGTTTACCCAGTAACGTTCGAATACATGCAAGAATTCACACTGGAGAGAAACCCTATGAATGTAAGCAGTGTGGGAAAGCCTTTTCTTCTCTCAGTTCCTTTCGGTATCATGAAAGGACTCAACACTGGAGAGAAACCCTATGAATGTAAGCAATGTGGAAAAGCCTTTCTTCAATCCAGTTCCATTCAAAAGCATGCAAGAATTCACACTGGAGAGCAATCCTATGAATATAAGTAATCTAGGAAAGACTTTAGTTGTTTCAGTTCCATTTGAACACATGCAAGAATTCACATTGGAGAGAAACCCTATGAATGTAAGCAATGTGGGGAAACCTTTAGTTGTTCCTGTTCCATTGGAACACATGCAAGAATTGATACTGGAGAGTAACTATATGTATGTAAGCAATGTGGGAAAGCCTTTAGTCTCAGTTCCATTCAAACATGTAAGAATTCACAGTGGAGAGAAACCCTATGAATGTAAGCACTGTCGAAAAGCCTTTACTTGTTCCTGTTCTGTTTGAACACATGCAAGAATACACAGTGGAGAGAAACCCTATGAATGACAGCAATATGGGAAAGTCTTCTTCACATATTTCGGTTCACTTCAAGTGCATAAAAGAATTCACACTGGAGAAACGCCATATGAATGTAAAACCTCTGGGAAAGCCTTCAGTCATATCACTTCCTTTCACAGACATAAAATTGTCTACAATGCAGAGAAACCTTATGAGTATGAATGTGCAAAAGCCTTCAGTTATCACAATGCTTTTCATAGACATCAAATTACCCATACTGCAGAGAAACTTTGAGTGTAAGGAATGTGGGAAAGCCTTCTGTTATCACAGTTCCCTTCAAAGATATGAAAGGCCTGACATTGGAGAAAAATTTTATAAATAGTGTGGGCCAGCACTGTATCTCACTTCTGTAATCCCAACATTTTGGGAGGCCAAGGTAGGTGGATCCTGACAATCAAGAGTTTAAGACCAGCCTGGACAAGATGGTGAAACACCGTCTCTACTAAAAATATAAAAATTAGCTGGCCATGATGGCAAGTGTCTGTAATCCCAGCTACTGAAGAGGCTGAGGCAGAAAATTGCTGAATCCAGGTGGCAGAGGTTGCACTGAGCACTCCAGCCTGGTGACAGAGTGAGACTCCATCTCAAAAACAAAAAGAAAAAAAGTAAAGCCTTTTACTTTTCCATTATGTTATGAAACCACGAAGGTACTCACACTTGAAATAAACAATGATACTAGGAACATGGGAAACCTTTCCTTTCTCAATTCTTTGAAGGCACACGGTGTGACACACTGGTGATAGACCTCATAACTGTCAGGAACATGGAATATGGTTTGTCCTTGTTTATTTTAGATACATGAAAGAATTTACTCTGGAGAGAAACTGAATGTAAATAAAGAATGTGGTAAAGCCTTGTGTAGTTTCTGTTTCTCTGAAATACTGTCATTTCCTGGTACTCTCAAGGCCTTGGTTGCAGCACTTCATCAGAATATCTAAATCTGAAGATGCTCATGTGCTTTATATAAAATGGTATATTTTCCTGGAATGTAAGCACACCTCCCTATATACATTAAGTAATCTATAGGTTATCTATAATGTCTAATGCATTGTAAATGATGTAAAAGTGGTTGTTTCGTTGTGTTATTTTAAGGGAATGTATTAATTTCTTTTCCCGGGTCTATAAGGGGTATGGTTTCAAAGACAAGAACTTCCCAGCGATATGCCTGACCTGCCTTCTTTTTCGTCTCGGTTTGGGAGCCTAGAGTTTTTTGTCTAACTTTTGTCCTGGAGGGAAGGTAACCTGCCCAGGTGAGCTGCTTTGGGTTAGAAAGCCTGCGAAAAGCTATGGGGGGACTGTGGGCCAAACAGCCAATCAGATGTCAAAGATCAGTTATTCCAGCGGAAGTTTGAAAGAACTCTCACTGGACAACAACTAGAATGGGTCAGGAGTAGCTCCCAAGTTAAAAGTCCCTTTCTCCCTAACCTGTGTGGGCTCCATCTCTGGATCTCCACTCACGAAAGCGTGGGAGCTTGCTTGCTCTATTTCGCTCTCTCTCTCTGCCTAATGAATCACTCTCTGCAAACCTTTTTGGGTTCAATATTTACTTGAACAGTATCACCACGCTAGGGCCTCCTACCCATTCTTTGGTGGATGAGAGCCCAAGGACCTGGAAAAAAAAAGTGGGATTGGGGAACAGTGAGTACCACATCTGGTCGCAGTTCTGACAAGAAAAAACATCTGTAGATGTTTAATACATATAACCATCACAGGCCAACCTCTATAGTACATAATGGTATATGTCCGCTACAGTGAAACCTTTTTTTTCCTGAGGATTCTGGCACTGTTGCCCAAGCTAGAGTGCAACAGGCTGATCTGCCTCAAGATCATGTGATTCTCCTGCCTCAGCCTCCCAAGTAGCTGGGATTACAGGCACCCATCACCACACCAGGCTAATTTGTATTTTTATTACAGATGGGGTTTCACTATGTGGTCCAGACTGTTCTCGAACTCCTGACCTTGTGATCCACCCACCTCAGCCTTCCAAAGTGCAGGGATAACAGGCATGAGCCACCACACCTTGCCAACATTTTCTTTCTTTTTTTTTTTTTTTTTAAAAAAAAGAAAAACGTGAAATGGTTTTATTTGATAGCCTGAAAGCATGTTGTAAACATTCTGCAAATCTTTTGTTCTCGGCAACCTTCATATGATGATTTCTCTGGTTTCTAAAGCCACAATGTTTTGAGGTGCTGAGATTGTTAGCAGTGTAAATAAATCATGCACATCAGGAGAATCTTGCTGGGAGAACCAACATCTGGTTGCAGATGTTACCTCTGGTGGACGGTCGGTAACACAAATGTTGGATCTGTAGTTGGGTGCAGAAAATATTTAAACATGGAAGTTTCCATCTTTTTCATTTATTTATTTTGAGATGGAGTGTCATTCTTGCCCAGGCTGGAGTGCAATGGCGAGATCTCACCTCACTGCAATCTCTACCTCCAGGTTCAAGCGATTCTCCTGCCACAGCCTCCCAAGTAGCTGGGATTACAGGCATGCACCACCATGCCCGACTAATTTTGTATTTTTAGAAGAGATGGGGTTTCTTTATGTTGGTCAGGCTGGTCTCAAACTCCTGACCTCAGGTGATCCACCCTCCTTGGCTTCCCAAAGTGCTGGGATTACAAGCGTGAGCCACCATACCCAGGCGCTTGTTTTTAGTAAGTGTAAAATGCACTATATCATTAGAGATTGATGGGCAAGATACAGTATTTAAAAACATGCCAGAACAAGGTAGGTTTTAGGGGAAGAAAAGTCTAGTCTTATATTCGCTTATAAAAATTGTTTTCTTCCCATAGCCTGTGTAGTAAATTTCTCAGCTCCTTTATCTATTGGGTGATTTCAAATGGAATTCCAGGTCTTAGCATGAAAATACTACCAGGAAAAAGAAATACGGAAAAAAACTCTTCCATTTTTGTTACAGAAAAAATGAGTTTTTTTCTACAAGCAAGTGTGGTGGAGTATACTGGTGGATTACAAATATGTAGCATAATCTCAGTTCTCCTTTGCAGGTTGGAGAATTTGTGACAGTGGATAAGTTTGTTTCCTGTTATGTGAACTTGGCAGATGAATGCTAAATCCTGTGGGACAGCACTGATTTTTTGTGTACTATATGATTATTATGGAAATAGTAAATCTGTGGAAAGAACACACTCAAAGGGCTTTTTCATGGCCAGGCGTGGTGGCTCACGCCTGTAATCCAAGCACTTTGGAGGCCAAGGTGGGCAGATCACCTGAGGTCCAGAGTTCAAGACCAGCCTAACCAACATGGTGAAACCCCTTTTTTGTTTTTGTTTTAAATAAAGGGCTTTTTCTATTCTGTCAGTAACAATTAACACAGAAGACTTTTTGACCAAAAGTGTGGGTTTTCTTCCTTCCAAAAGGCAAGCAGGTTATTCTGCAGTGGACAGCAACTAGGTGTCTTCCAATTCAGTTCTGACATTACCTACGTGGAGATAGCTGCAGAGCCCACAGGTTGATGGCTCGGTCCCGACATCCTTCCCTCCTTGCCCACCACTCCCTACCATTCAGATATCAGTGGTAAGTTGGCCTCTGGAAATTATAACCCACAGGTTTCAAAGTGGGAGTTCCTTTGCTCTCTTTGGGTTTAACTAACTTGTTATTGTGGCTCACAGAACTCATGGAAACACATCTTCAGTAGCTTCTTTGATTTCTTTTTTTTTTTTTTTTTTTTTTTTTTCTCAGATGGTGTCTTGCTTTGTCGCCATGCTGGAGTGCAGTGGTGCAATCTCAGCTCACTGCAACCTTCAGCTCCCTGGTTCAAGCTACTCTTGGGCCTCTGCCTCTTGAGTAGCCGGGATTACAGGGGTGCATCATCATGCCTGGCTAATTTTTGTAGTTTTAATACAGCGTTTCGCAATGTTGGCCAGGCTACTCTTGAACTCCTATCCTCAAGGGATCTGCCCATTTCAGCCTCCCAAAATGCTGGAATTATAGGCATGAGCCAGCATGCCAGGCTATCTCTTTTCTTTATAAATCACCAGCTTTAGATATTTCTTTGCAGCAGTGCAAAACAGATTAACACATATATTAAATAGAAATGGTGAAAGTGGGCATTCTTTTTTTCCTGGTATTAGAGGAAAAGGTTTCAGTCTTTCACCATTGAACGTGTTACCTGTAGGATTTTCATACATGGCATTATTCTATTAAGGAAGTTTCATTCCAGTTCTAGTTTTTTGTTCATTCGTTTTTCATTTTTTGGGTCTTTTCTGAGACAGACTTTTGTTCTTGTTGCCCAGGCTAGAGTGCAATAGTGTGATCTCGGCTCACTGCAACCTCTGCCTCCTGGGTTCAAGGGATTCTCCTGCCCCATGCCCAGCTAATTTTTTGTAGTTTTAGTAGACACGGGGTTTCACCATGTTGACCAGGATGGTCTCGATCTCTTGACCTCGTGATCCACCCGCCTCGGCCTCCCAAAGTGCTGGGATTACAGGCATGAGCCACCTCGCCTGGCAACCTCTATAGATTTATATACAGCTTTGATGGATTGAAGGCTCCTCATCCCAACCCCTTCTATAGAGAAATGGTTTACATGTAAGTAATTCAGGAATCTGATCCAAATTAACTCATGTATAATGTTCCATAAAATTTACAAATCCAAGAAATGTTATAAAATTTATACTT